AAAATCTGTTGTGGTGATTTTTATCTTTTTTGTACCACAAGGGGGATCTAACAAAATTTTCACTAATTAAACAGTCGATAGCCATGCCGATCACACCTGATAATAGTAAAGAAAACAGGGAATACAATTAGCGTTGCTCTTATCGTTAGTCGGCTGTCAAGCGTGTAACAACGCGTTGCTCCAATATAGAAATAAACACTTGCATATAAAACTATGACAACAATGTTGTTGTTTTGCTAGTATCGTTTATCGCAGCTCCAACGTAAACGCACCCTTAGATATAAATTCCAATCTTCTGGCAAAGTCTGTTGGTTCAATGTGTTGCACTTGTTGAACATGGAATGGATGCAAGCCATGAGTACGCAATGTTCTCCATACTTTTACATGAGGAACACCAAGACGAGCAGAAAGTCTTTTTGTACTGGTAGATGGACTGTGTTCTACCGACTGAAGAATTTGTTCAACTTCATTCAGAGTCTGTTGAATGTTCGAGTAAATGCTCTTAAATCTGGTAGCACTCGGTTAGGAAACCGTCTCCTATAGTCACGACGAGCAGCACCATTGCAGAAACTGTAACAAAACACCATATATTCTGCAGGATTATCAACAAACTTAGTCGATACGTCAACCAAATAATGTTAAATGGCAAACATTGACAAAAGGCTGTTTCACAACAGCCGTACGTGATATAAATGTATGCACTAACTGGCTGTATCTTAGTTACCTTTGAGAATTGACCACATGTTTTTAGGAACTTTTCTGCTTAAAATGAACTAATCTATAACATATTAACGTATGTACCATTCCTCATGAAATACCCTGTATAAAAATCAACAACACATATTTTAACCCGTTTTCTCTTTTACAAGGCTCTCCTCTATCACCTACTCTATACAGTATTGTATACTGTTTTGACATTTTTTCGTCATTCCCTATTCGATATATCCCACAATACGCGGAAGTCACGACGTTGGTCACCCACGCAAAAACCCTAATTGAAACAACAAAAGAACTGCAAACATTCTACAATGAGACACTTGCCTGGTTATTCAAATTGAGACTACAACCCAACCCTTCCAAATTCCAGCTCTTACTACCTTACCACAACAACAAAGAGGACTCTCCCTACATCCAAACAGGACATGGTAAATTAGGACCTTCGGAAAACATCAAATATCTAGGTATGATTTTAGACAAGAAACTATACGTCTTAAAAAACACTATAAATAAAGAGAACTCGATGCAATAAGAAGAGCAAAACACTTTCGCATCTTAATGTACGGGAATAAAGGAGTTTCCACTAAAACGACCGTACACATTTATTTATTTATTTATCTCATGTGGATGCAGAAACAGGTCAAACCCAATAACTCTGTACCACAAACAACCAGTTGTACACAAATAAAATTATAGTTCACAATATTAATATTGATGGTACAAAAGTGAATTGAAAGGAAAAAACTAAGTCTAGGTTATATAAATATATCACGTATCAAGTGAACGCTCGAGGCAATACACCAACTGCAGCAAAGAGCAATTTTTTAAATGCGTAGAATGAATGCAAACAAATCTATGTTAGCACGATTTGCGGATCTTGGCATTCTTTAGGATTGGCATTGGTTCTAGGAGCAGGTGTCATAAATATAAAGTCGAAGTGAAGTAATCTCGAAGGAACATGATATAGAACCGACAAGCATTGGAGAATCATACTTGTTCAAAAGTTTGTAAAAATATAACATATACCCACAAAAGCGAGGCCCGTACAGCTACACCCCCCATTCAAAATATCAGCATTTTGATACTGCCATAATTATGTACTATTTATGTACTAATTTTGTACTACATTAAAAAAATTTGTACTAATCATTTAGTATTTTTTTTATATATGTCAAAGTGGGGGGTGTAGCTGAACGTTCAGTTACACCCCCTTTTAAGATATCAGCATTTTGATGGTACCATCGTTTTGTGCTATTTATGTACTAATTTTGTATGGCATTAAAAAATTTGTACTAATCATTTAGTATATTTTTTATATACATATATCAAAGTGGGGGGTGTAGCTGGACGTCCAGTTGCACCCCCCTTTTAAGATATCAGCATTTTCATAGTGCCATAATAACTATAACTACCACAGATTTGTTATTTGGCACATCGATACAGGACAAAAAGGTTTACTTTATGAAGTTAGTGTTGTTACTATATCACTACAGATGAGCACAGAACTTTTTTTTACAATATAACAAAATGTGCGGAACAATAATCTTGGATTTAACTTCACGTTAGTGTTGTGTACACTAAAATTTCTGCCATCAATTTGAGTTTGTTTTAGCGTTAAACAATTCGCGTTTTTTAAAATGCATTTCTCCTTCCTCTTTCCATGGAATGAAAAATCGCTACATTTAAATCTGTGGTAGTTATAGTTTAAGACGAAAAAGGGGGTAACAAAAAGTTGGGACAATTTATTGTATAAAAAAAATACTAAATGATTAGTACCAAAAATTTTAACATAGTACAAAATTAGTACATAAATAGCACTAAATTATGGCGCTATCAAAATGCTGATATCTTAAAAGGGGGGTGTAACTGGACGTCCAGCTACACCCCCCACTTTGATATCTATAAAAAATATACTAAATGATTAGTACAAAATTTTTTAATGCTGTACAAAATTAGTACATAAATAGCACAAAACGATGGTACCATCAAAACGCTGATATCTTAAAAGGGGGGTGTAACTGAACGTTCAGCTACACCCCGCACTTTGACATATATAAAAAAAATACTAAATGATTAGTACAAATTTTTTTAATGTAGTAGAAATTTAGTACATAAATAGTACATAATTATGGCAATATCAAAATGCTTATATCTTGAATGGACTTAGCTGTACGGACTTACAAAAGCGACGCTACCTAAGGGTTAACATACGAAAATACGTGCAAGTTGATTCGTAATCAATGTATTGACCAGAAAATTTAAAACAAAGGTATATGAGGAATTTAGATTGAATATCCTCAATTCTAGATTTAAGAGTGATATACGAGTGATACTGAGGATTCCAAACGACGCTGCAAAAGTTAAGTGTGCTGTAAACATAAGCAAAATAGATATTTCTAATTGAATCAATGTTAGAAAAACCTACATCTCATAATAAATCACATGTTGCAACCTCTCACCAGCGACGCTATAATTGTAGTGGATTGTGTTCACCCTCTTAGAAAAGGAAATAATATTACACTTTGATGAGTTTACTGCAAGGCGATTATTTAAGCAAAAAGCATGTAGATTAATCAAGAGGTCACTAATAACGGAGAAAGAGTTTTAAATCGTTAGCATACATTAAATATTGGGCATAATTAACGACGTCAAATATGTCGTTAACATAAATATTAAACAGTAAAGGGCCCATATGTCTACCCTGGGAACACCAGAAGGAACCGACACAGAATTAGAAAAAAAAAACAATCTGGCATCTCTCCTTTAGAATCAACTTGATAAGAATCATCCAGAGAAGGTAAGATATATTGGGTATATTCAATCAAGTTACTCTCATCCGAGCGACCAGAAAAAAAGCCATGTTGTCTACCATTGATTTTAGACTTAAGGATAAATAATAGACGTGCATGAAGTACTTTCTCTAACACTTTCCCAAATGCTGGCAAAATAGATATAGGGCGGTAATCAGATATATCACAACTGTCCCCAGATTTAAAAATGGGAAGAATAAAAACCCGCTTCCACAATGAAGGAAAGACACCTATTATTGATGACGCATTAAATAAAATATTTAAAGGAAGGGACAGAGTATGAACTCCTTATTCCTTAATTAAAATTGATAGAATACCATCAGTACCAATACTGTCTGTAACCTTGATGCCATCTTCAACCTCAATTTTGTCAAACTGCATCTGTTTCAAAAGTAGGGCATCCATTTTCACACAATCTACATTCTGCTGGATTGGAGCAGGATCAACAAAAACCGAAGAAAAGAAATCAGCGAACAATTCAACACCGACAACAGTTCCATTCCATGACATCGTAGAAGGAATGACATCCGCACGCTTCTTAGACTTAGTAAAAGCCCAAAACACCTTCGGGTCAGATTGGATATTGCTTTCAGCTCTTCTACAATACTCCATGTAATTATGATGGATTAGATATTTTGCCCGACTTCTTAGAATTGAAAAAGTAGGTAGTCAAGTTTTACAAAGCAATAGTTAGATCTTCGTTGGATTATGGGCATGTCCTAGATACGAGTGTACCGAAACAAACACCCAAAAGTCATCGAAACACCTCCACAATCACTTGACCCAAACCCAATCGAACAACTTTGGGAAGAATTAAATCGCCGAATAAGTATATCCTCCACAATTACCCAAAATTTGGTCAACTCGATTCCGAAAAGGTTGCCAGCTGTTTTATCGGCCAAGGGAAATCCCATAAAATGTCTCTTAATTTGTATTATTTTTTTGTTTTGTTTATGTGGTGTCGTAAGGCATAATATAAATAAAACCTTTTCACTGTTTTGTTATTAATAACTATATTTTCTACATATTCTCTATAATAAACATTTTTCGTTTTTGTTGATTTAATATGTGTTTCTTTTGTGCTATCGCTTAGTGTCCGATTATTTATGTCAGTCACTGTATATAAAAATTATAAATAGTTTGTAATAATGTAGATCCATAGGTCAATAGCCGAATAAAGATATGTAATAATATATTCTTTTTCTCAAACGAGTGATATATCGCGTTAATTATAAACATTATTTTGACGTTATAAACGTCAAAATTTAGGGTCACAATTTTTAAGAGATATCTATATATTTAATTTTCAGTTTTATCCCCCATTAATAAATAAACATTTCGTGATGCAAAAGCGTTATTTATTTTAAATTTTAATGTTTAAATTTAACAATTTTAATTGACAATTAATCAATAGTTTGAATTCGCAACAAAAGATGGCGCCACACATTAACCTTGTTTTTGTTGACACAATTTAATCTGTCAAATTTTGTATTCATACAACAGCTGATTGTCACAACAAATTATCAACAAGATTCATTGTTATAACTATGTCGGACAATTCAACCGTCGATTTAGAGAACGGGCATTATTCCGACGACTCAAATTCCCCAATTTCCTCCTCGGATATAGGTTAGCATCAAATCTTAATTGACAATTTTTATTATCACATTGTTTTGTTAACACATTTCTTTTATTAACGCATTCTTTTTGGTTATAGAGGATGATTCAGAAACGGGGGATAAAGGCGAATTTGACACAGCATTACCAACAACTCACAAAGTAAGCCACGGTTATACAAATTAACTTATTTTTAATGTTGCGTTTTGAAGTATTTGGGTAAGCTGGATAATGTTGGGGGTTACACATTATACGACGATGGCGAAATCATCCAAGCAATGCTGGCCATTCACACAAACACTTTGGTTTTTCCTGGGTTTACACTCCCTTTGGTAATTCGTGAATATGAAACGGATCACATCATGGATGATATCAAAAATGGATATATGTTTGCTTTGATTTGTACTGAGTAAGTTTAAAACATTTAATTTTAAATTAAATAAGGTAAACATGCCAGTGGTCGATGATATTCGAATTTTTGTTGATATCTTGAGGAAGAATCAGGTTTGATCCTGATTATTATTTCATCAACAACAATATCTTCTTCAAATTCAACAAAATTTACTTCTGCATGTCGGTTTAAAACTCCTTCAGAAATTAAGGTTAATTTTTCATCAGCCTATACTGGGTGTCCTTCAAAAGTGGCTCACCTCCATATTTTTTTTTATTATTAGTGATATAAGAAATCCATTTGGAATGCATAATTAGGTCGTTAAAACGGATTATTACGACAGGAAATCATTTTCTTTGTGCATCCGGTTATACCGGAAGTGAGTACTAATTTCGTAATTTTTTTAAATCTATAATTTTTTTTTCTTCAGTTGGGCAGACAGCATAATTTCACATAACTTTTACATGAAAAAAAATTTTCACGATCGCTTATAATTTTTGAAGAAAAATTTTTTTCATTATTTTTTAACGTTTTAGTAGAGTTTGCGGTAGTACATTTTTCCTTATAAAAATTGCCGTTATGATTTTTAAGGTTAGTTTTCGCTAAATTTATACCGTATAGTAACGCCATTTTCCCGAAATAACGGAGCCAATCACAATTTAATTCTTATGAGTCGCTCATGTCCTTTATAAATAAGATGTCATCAAGGTTTGTAAAGCGTATTGGTACAATACGCTTTACAAACCTTGGATGTCATAAGATGTCATATGTCATTATAGCACAGATAATTGCCGTGTGTAAGAAGTTTTTGTTACCTTTTGAGTTCTTCATTCGTACAGACAATGTAATTCCATGCACAATGCACGTCTAAACCAACAAACTAGAGAAAGTGAGACGCAAAAGAGAAAACGTTTTAGATTCTCTGATGCAGATAGATTAAAATGTATTAAAGAATTATACGACATTTTAGCTGAAGATGACCTTATAACAGAAGAAGATGTATGGATTCGACTTCATGATGCTTTAATGTATGATAATTCCAGTAGGTTTAAGTCATGCAGCCTTAGGTTATTGAAGGACCACATAGTAGATCAAGTTGCAAAGTTTAGCAAGTACGATTCTCAGGAGGCGACAGAATCTGGGAAAGAACGCTTACAAACGCCATGGGGTGACTGCATGAAAGACCTGAATAAAGGTCCCAAATCAAAAAAAGAATCTGCTTCGCAACAGAGAGACATGGAGCTGGCTAAGAAAATACGAGATGCAGCAATGGGAACGAATGAGAGCTGTTCATTAGATGAAGAAGAAATTAATGATGGAGAATGCAGTAATACTTCTTTTACTTCGGAATGTTCTGAAAAGAATACTCCTACTTCTTCTCTAGGTATCACTAAGAAAAGGAAAAAGAAAGAAGTTATTCCTAGTGTATAATATATGTATATTTGGCCGAAAAAGCAAGGTTGGAAAATGATTTAAAAAAAGAAGAGTTAAAATTACAACAGCAGCAACATGCTGACCAAGTGCACTTACAAGAAGAGCCTTCGATTTAACCTTTCGGCAGGCGCGCCTATTTTTATTACATGAGCAGGCGCGTAGTGTACAGTGTACACATAGGAAAATTTCTTCTTTTGGGGGAAATTTACATGTTAATTCACAAAAAAAAACAATACAGAGAATACACGACACTTTATTGTTATATTTTATGTGTTTACAATAACATAATAACATAATGAACAACTAATAAATCAATTATGAGTCAGAGTCTGAATGCATTTCACAAGTCGAGCAAGTTATCATAGTTTTTGAGTGTTTTTTACATATGAATTGCTTACATTTACAACATTTTTGTGTAGTATTTGTACACAATTTACACCTCCCTCGTTTTTTAGATTGAGTTGGTTGTGTTTCCGACGTCCCGCACTCAGCGCCCATGTAGGATATTTGCAAAAACGCTCGAATATCCTTTGGCAGCGAAATTATTTGAGCTCTCATAATTAGTTGCTCTTTCATTAAAGCAATTGCTAAATTATTTAAGAAAATTCTTCGACGACACTGATTTCCCGTAGAATGTTTTGTAAAATACACTATTTGCGAGTTTATTCCCGCTATATTTAGCAGCGTAAAAAACAGGGCTAATGGCCATTGTCTAGTGACCCTCGAAATAGAGTAGGCAGCGCACATCTTATCAACCGTATCTACTGCTCCTTTTGTTTGGTTATAACTTAAAATTATTTCTGGTTTATGAGATTCTTCGTCAACTTCCGGTAAGTCGTGCATCGTTGATAATAATATAACGGCTTTGTTTTTTCTTGGGACATAAGAGACTAATGCAGTATCTTGTTGAAAGCCAAATAAAGATGATTGAGGTTGACGATTTTTATTTGGCAAAAACTCCGGAGGAATTTCACGTTTGTTTTTACGTAATGTTCCGATGAATGTAATTTTTTTTTCTAGAAGATATTTAGCTAAGGTTAAGCTACTATACCAATTGTCCGTCGTTAGATTTCTACCAGAATTTTCAATTGGTGTTATTAACCGTTTCACAATGTCGATGGGTGAATTGGAAACTTTATAAATTCCATTTGGTTGTTGCCCACAATAAACTTCAAAGTTGCTGGTATAAAAAGATTTGGCATCGCACATGGCAAAAATTTTTATACCGTATTTAGCAGGTTTGCTTGGTATATATTGCACAAAACTACATCTACCTCTAAACGAGTGCAACATTTCGTCAATGGTTACATATTCGCTAACGTTATAACTGTTTCTACAATTATTGACAAAGGAATCAAGGATTGATCTGATTGGAGCCAACTTATCCGTTTTCTTCCTTTCATTCCTTGTTGATTTATCATCAAAACGAAGGCTTCTCAACAGAAATAAAAATTGTTTGGAACCCATTACTGCTCGGAGAATTTGAATGCCGGTGCCATCACTATTCCACAGATCCATCACGTTTACATGAGATCCTTTCTTTGTACCAATCAAGAAAAGAGTTCCAAATAAAGCTAATATTTCGCAAATTGTTGTATTTTGGCAGTCTCGTTCACTCGAATATGAAATCGTATTACGTTTGGAGTCGATGTATTTATTTGTATATCGGACAATATCGTTGATTATGTTTGGAGTAATAATTGCTTGAAATGCACTTATTTCGTCGGTAATGTTCCGTGTTTTTGTTGTAAGTCCAGGTAGAACTTTTACGATATTTTTACCCCTAATTTTCGAAGGTCGCTTATTAGGATTTTTATACCATTTCAATGATTCGTCATCTTGTTGGTTTACCTCAGACTTGCTCGCCGAACTTGTCTTTTTTATTACTTTCGGTTTTCCTCTTCCTAGAAAAAAGTCACCACTACTTTTGTGTGCTTCCTCTGTTTCATTGGCGCTCTGCTCTGAGTCACTATCATGTTCACTTTGCACAATTTCTTCTTCTTCATCGGATATATCGCTATCGTCGATACTTTCCTTAGGTTCCTCTTCCAAAAANTGTATATTTTGCCGAAAAAGCAAGGTTGGAAAATGATTTAAAAAAAGAAGAGTTAAAATTACAACAGCAGCAACATGCTGACCAAGTGCACTTACAAGAAGAAAGCCTTCGATTTAAAAAGGCTAAACAAGAATTCGAAAAAGTTAGGTGGGAGAAAGAAGCCCGGCAGAAAGACGCCGAAATAGAAAAAAATAATTTACTAATAAGCTTATTACAAACTCTAATAAATAAGAATAAATAACATGGTTTATCAAATAGTTATTAGTAGGTAAATAAATAAGTTGGCATACATAAGTTGTGTAAACTTTATTAATTATTCGATCAACACATCTTTTATGTACAGGGTAGTTATATAATTTACTGTGGAAGTGATTTTTAAGATACTGAAAGGTTTCATCTAGAAATCGATTGTGGTTATGTCTTCATTTAATAACCAATAGATTTCCACAAGCTTCATGTACCAGGTGGCCAAATAAGAAAGTCCGGAAACTTCTTTATATTCATCCACAGAACTGTGTTCCGGCACAGTATGACACTTATAACAGTTATTTACTGTAGAAAGTATTCCAATAATGACGGAGGTTCTTCATCAAAATAAGTCGAAGTTACACAGCCATACAAGAATGTATGGGCATTTGTTAAAAGTGCTGCAACAAGATAGTACTTTCCAACAGGTTGTAAATACAATTTCTGATTTTTTTTGAAATCTAGATAGGCAAATCGTTGCACAAGTTTTCCGAAGCTCCATTCCACACATTGCCGAACTTTGGACAATTCTCGATTGAACCTGATTTGCATTTCTGACAATGTAGTGCTAGAATAGGGCCGTATTAATTGTTTCTTTAAAGGGTACCCTTCATCACCATAAATACAATATGGATGACAGTATAGCTGTAATTGATCTAGTATAAGGGTATCCTTCAAAATGAAAGCATCATGTCTTCGACCTGGATATGACATGCTCATATGGATAACAATCCCATTTGGCAATGTAATACATTGAAATTTCATGCAATGGAGACGTTTATGTCCACTATACATCTCTTTTTGATTTATTGTGGGTCTACATATTGCTCGAGCAGTTCCATCAATAAATCCAATGCAGTTTGTTAAAGGAGCGCCCTTAGCATGTACCATTCTGGCCAATTCCTTCTGATAATTTAACGTAAACCATGTATTTTCAGATATGTTAAGTAAAAGTGTGCCCCAAATTCTTCCTACAATTCCTTCAATCGCTTTGGATAAACAAACCTGCGTAGTAATAAGCACAACCCTCCAATTCCTTAAAAGTATAATACAGTTCACTATATAATAATTCTTAAAAATTATTAATACCATCTATAATATGTTGATCGCTTGTTTCTATTCTATTGGGTAGATGTAAAACTTGATAAAGTCGAATGATGTCATGCTTTTCAAAACGAAACATAAATTGGCAATTTTCTGGTGGTATAAAATGAAAATTAAATTTCGCTACCGAATACAGTGTCTTCCTTTCTTTAACTGCTTTTTCTAAAGAAGTAAACAC